ATTAACGAGCTCAATCTTGCTTACTTTGGACTACAATACCCCTTATTGTTTTTGTACGATGAAGATGGATATAGGGAGGATATTCCTCTATGCAACGCAAGTACAATGTGGTAGGAGCTGGGAGAAAAAGAGCAAGTGTGAGGGAATTTTAAGCCTTTCGATTGCAGCAGCGAGATAATAATAACTCCTCAACTTTGAAGACAAAACGTCTTTTTCAACAATTCGTTGTTGGCTCTGTTCTAAAAATCGTTCTAGGCGCTCCGACTAATTGGTTTGCCGTCTAGGTGAATTAGTTGGCCGCCTATGGCGCCTAGTTGCCCGCCTAGAGCGCCTAATCAGCCGCAGGCTGTCTAGATTCGCCGAACATTACTTCACTTTTTAATTTTAATTTTCTAAGCGATATACGTACTTTAACTTTAGCCATGGATATAAAGAAATGAAGTTGTAAATTAAGATAAAACTATATAGTTTGTATATATACCTAAATTTTATCATTATTTATATTTATAACATAATGAAGTTAAGTGATTAGTTATCATATACTACGTACTGCGTATGATTAAATGTGATAATTCTATCATTCATGTTTGTTAATGTATATGTATATATGTATTTTATATACACAAAAATACAATTTTACTTATCATATTTATGCAAAAATATAGATAAAAATGTAATTTCTATGTTTCCGACTAGTCCCCGACTAGGCGCCCACCTAGCCGTCTAGGCGCTGAGCTGGCACCCGACTAGCGCCTAGCGCCTTTTAGAACATTAGTTGTTGATAATTACACAATGGTGGATTCAGGAATGTTGCAATTCGTATGAAGAAGTTTACATGAAACTTTCACCAGGCTTTTCCTCCTCTCGAACTGGCTTAGTTTGCCGACTCCGAAAATCCTTATATGGCTTGCGCCAAGCACCTCGGTGCTGGTTCGCCAAGTTAGCTGCATCTTTGAAAAAATATGGTTTTAGTCAATCTTATTCTGATTACTCTCTTTTTACCTACCGAAAAGGGGTCATTCATTTAAATGTACTAGTTTATGTGGACGATTTGATTCTTTCATGCAATGATTCGCATGCTTTATCTGATTTTAAATCATATTTGAGTTCGTGCTTTCACATGAAAGATCTTGGTATTCTCAAATATTTTCTTGGCATAGGAAGTGGCGTGCAGTGCTGATGGTATTTTTCTTTGTCAACGTAAGGGCGATGTTCTAAAAGGCGCTAGGCGCTAGTCGGGCGCCAACCCAGCGCCTAGCGCCTAGGCGGCTAGGCGGGCGCCTAGTCGGGGACTAGTCGGAGACATGAAAATTGTATTTTTATCTATATTTTTGCATAAATATGATAAGTAATATTGTATTTTTGTGTGTATAAAATACATATATACATATACATTAACAAACATGAATGATGTAATTATCACATTTAATCATACGTAGTACATGCATGATAACTAATCACTTAACTTCATTATGTTATAAATATAAATAATGATAAATTTTAGGTATATATACAAACATATACAGTTTTATTTAAATTTACAACTTCATTTCTTTATATCCATGACTAAAGTTAAAGTATGTATATCGCTTAGAAAATTAAAGTTAAAAACTGAGGTTTAATTTTTACAAATTAGACACCCTAGGCGGCCGATTAGGCGCTCTAGGCGGGCAACTAGGCTCCACAGGCGGGCGACCAATTCACCTAGACGGCAAACCAATTAGTCGGAGCGTCTAGACAAAAATTGGGGTGCCCGACCACCGCCTAGCGCCTATGCAGGGACTAGTGGGTGCCTGGAACGATTTTTAGAACAGAGACGTAAGTACACATTAGATATTATTGAAGAATCTGGTCTTCTTGGGGGCGAATCCTGCAGCTTTCCCAATGGAGCAGAATCATACTTTGGCTTTGTCGACGAGTGCTCTATTATCTGATCCGGAGTCTTACCGTCGCCTTGTGGGCCGTCTTATATATCTCTCCTTCACTCGTCCTGACTTAGCATACTCTGTTCATATTCTCTCTCAGTTCATGCAGGCCCCACGAACGGATCATTGGCATGCGGCTCTTCGAGTTGTTCGTTATCTCAAAAATTGCCCGGGGCAAGGTATTCTTTTAAGCTCCACATGTGATTTAACTCTTACTGGTTGGTGCGACTCCGATTGGGCCAGTTGCCCCCTGACTCGTCGCTCTCTCACTGGGTGGTTGGTATTTCTTGGTGGTTCTCCTGTTTCTTGGAAAACCAAGAAGCAGCACACAGTTTCTCACTCGTCGGCTGAAGCTAAGTACCACTACATGGCAGCAGTTACCGGGGAATTAAAATGGCTCAAAGGATTGCTTCTTACTCTCGGTATTCCTCATGATCATCCTATGCCTTTGTTCTGTGATAGTCGGTCAACACTTCATATTGCTCATAATCCGGTGTTTCATGAACGTATGAAACACATTGAGGTGGACTGTCACTATGTTCGTGATGCTATTCAGGAAGGTTTAATTACTACTCAGCATGTCTCTACTGATGAACAACTTTCCGACATCTTCACCAAGGCTCTTGGCAAGCGACAATTTTATTATCTCCTTGGCAAGTTGTGCATTTTTTATCCCCATGCTCCAACTTGAGGGGGGTGTTAGATACGTGGGTAAATAATTTTGTATTAGCCTCTTTTGTAAATTAATTATTGGGCCATAGTGTTTAGTTTATAATAGGGCTGCAGTTCATATGTATAAATACGGATGTACTCTTGTGATTAAGGCAATGAATATGATTGGACATTATTTTTTCCATACTAGCGCATAAATTCAACAGAATGTGATGAAAAAATCAGGATATCCAACCCATCTAGTCATCTTCAAATAGCCATTGCATCTTGAGAATTTCACATCATAAATCGTGGACCTCCAATCAAGGATGAGGGCAAAACAATTCTTGTGCATTGAGTACATGGGTCACTTTACCCTCTCAATATTGCATCGCTCAAGCCCTTATACATTTCATAGCATAATTACTTGGAAAAATTCACATCATTAATCCCACCTATTAGGGTTCTTCCAATATTAATCCCAAATATGAGTAATTCCAATATAATCTAATCTATAAAGGGTATCTTCTCAGAATGAACCGGTAACCCGAATGAATCAGGTCATCTGGTCACCCGACCACGTGTCTTGTTCTGATTGGCTTTATATCGGAGTATCTTTTAATCTTTTTAACTTTTTTTCTTTACTCTTCATAGAACGCACCTCCCTCCTCATCTTCCGATCAGCCAGCCCCTTCTCGCCCACATCCCATCTTTCTTCTTCCTGCGTGCTTCGCTCTTGCTATCCACCTTCTTAAATTCTTAAATGTTCATGAATTTTTGGGCTAAAAATTAAATTTTGTACTCTCCTCAACCCAATTGTTCTTTGACGTCGGCCCTCTGTCAGTCCCAACGTTGCCGTCCGTCCGTCTACCTGTCCATCCCAGATGGCCTGGTCTCCATGAATTGTTGCTTGATTGGCATTCAATTTTTGTTATCATTCATGATGAACAATGTTAAATTTGAGTTTGGAAAGACTAAATTAACTTTTTCAAATCTGAAAGTGAAAGAAAGATGTTAAAATTTGAAGATGGCTGAAAACCTAAACTTGAAGTAAAACAAAATGAAGTTGAAGTGGGAAGGATATAATCATATGTGGTGGAGGGAGAACATAAAAAGAAGAAGAAATATAATACACGAGAATAATTCATGGTTGGAGCAAATTAAATTGGATCTGGAAACCATGGCTACAATTGATTTAAGTTAACTTTATTAAAAAAATAAAGTTAACTTTATTAATGTTTAAATTTTTGCATGTTATCTTACGGTGTATAACAAGATTTTCGTATATCTATACTAGCGGTATACGCACTGTGTGCGAATAGTGCCCAATATAGTTTTTAAAAAATGTGATAGTTATTCAAAGAGTGAAAAATTCAGAAATGCACTAATCTAAATTTTCGAAGTTAGAATGTGTTCACATTTTGTGCAAAAAATATGTGGGGGAATTACCAATCTAAATGTAAGCCTATAGTAATCCCCCTGCTACTCTGCTAGAGTGTTGGGGAATAGAGATAATAGCTTCAATAATTGCAGCTTAAAAAATAATTTCAATTGATAGTGTTGTGAATTAATTACTTAACTATAATTCAAAATAAACGAAGTTGTCAATGGTAAAAAAGATGGAACTACTAACACACTTTTTTCTTAACGTGTACAAGTGTTTAACTCGTGCGTTGCATGGAATAAAAGTTCTCTAAAATGAATTGTTAAAAAGAAGACGCGGTGACACATTCACAGTTAAATTACTCATTCTATCATGAAATATTGCAATATATAAACACATGAGAAAAAATGGAAATAATTATGGTAAGCTTATAAGTATATATGATTGTTGCTTGCATATCATCATATAAAGGGGAACAAAAGCGATTGCATAACATCAAGGCTATAAAGTGAATCTTATCTATGTTCTAGTTTATTAATATTAATCTAAACAATAGACCAATAGTTAATGGTAAAAAAAAACAAAAAATGAATTTCAATGTACTCTCGGATGTCATGTATCCCAATATATGTAGACATATATGAAGTTAAGCTCCAGAAAGTGCGTGTGTAATACTATCAATCAAAATAATTGGCTAACAGCCAAAACATATACGCCATAGAGGAAATTAAATCAAGTTTTTGTACATGATGACCTCAAAATTTATTAAATGAATATCCATCCATATCAACAATTTAAGATAATGACCTTAAACAAGTGCTCCAAATTTCAAAATAGAATTTGAAAAAGAGGGTCAAACATGTACAATCGGATTTCTGAATCTATAATGGAATATTATAAAAAGTATATAACAAATTTAAATTGGTGATAGTTTTGGCTGAGGTTTCTAATTAAACCATCATTCATGAAACAAATAATACAATAGTAGTTAGACGAATATTACATATTGATATATGTTCGTAGTGTTTGATAGATATCATATTGATAATAAGTATTCTGATCATCATCAAGAGTCTTGGGATAAGTCTCATACTCCAACACAATGTTCAGCGCGTTACAAATCAAACAGCCTGATGACACTTCTGTAATAGATGTCAACTATAAGGAAACTTTAGAGTATTTCATCCGTGTGTTTGAGTCAAAGATGTTGTAGTTGTATTGGGTTACTGTAAGACAAGAAACCCAGTCTCCAAGAGAGGCAGCAACTACCGAATTGGATCAGCCACCACTTGAAGTGTAAGATCTAATGTCCTTGTACAAATATTCTTCATTTAAGATGCTAGTTCAGATGCTAATATTGACAGTCAAAAACATTAGAAAATTAAAAGATTAAAGTAACCTGTATAAAGTGTTTAAGTGTTGCCCATAATTGTAGCTTACTTAAGAGAAGGTGAATTGAGTAATGGACACTATGTGAGCCCAAGGTTTAAAGGCTAGTTCATGTACTGAGGTGTTTTGTTCCGGAGAGGCAAGGCATAAGACTCGAGTGTATGCCTCTAAATATTCCAATAAATAGAACTTATAATAGTTAGAGTAGTAAAAACCAACTAAATATATGCATATTTGTGATAGGAAACTGTCCAGGTAAACAGTAAAATCACAGAATCTATCAAGAACAACTAAGAGTTTTTATTGATGAGGAAGAATCGATTACAGAAAGAGAGTAAGAAATCAATGGCCGAAGCCCCCAATATGAGCCGAAGCCCCCAAGAAAGAGAGTAACTCTCGATCTCCCAAGTCCCAGTCTGAAAAATGTCTAAACAGCCTACCTAACCCTTCCCTGCCTTCTGCTATTTATACTAAACTAATACACTTTTATTCTTATTAATATGCTAATAGGCCCAGTCCATTATTCTTATTATATATTAGGCCCGGACCCTAACAATACTCCGCCCCTTAAACATCCACCTTGCCCTCAAGGTGGATGATATGACACAGCCACTAACTTATTCTCTTCTTTCATCCTAGCACCCCTTCCTCTCCAGTACTGATTGGTCTGCTGGGCCTTTAGCTTTACTACTTCCATCTTTCCCTCTAAGTATTTCACAGCATAGTTCCACATAGGCCAGACAATTTGATCCAGAACTGTGATTTCTGCAGGTTTTTGGAAGACCCAATTGCAGCTTGCTGTAACATTGGGGACAGCTACTTCGTGCCTTTGAACACTTCTTCCTTCAACGTCCTGCTCTCTTGATGAGTCATCTCTTTGTAGAATCACCTCCTGCCCTTGTACTTTCCATTTGAAGGTCTGACTTTGGAAGTTAATCTCCATGTCTCCCAAACTTGTTAACCAGTCCATTCCCAAGACTAAATCCATGCTCCCCAGCTCCAATAAGTAATAAGTTTGGTGAATACCAATTCCTTGCACATTCAGATCCACACCTGCACACCTGCCACAGATTGGAATACATTCGCCATTCCCTAACTGCACCCTATTCCCTGTGAAATGAGTATAAGGAATCCTCCACTTTTCCGCCAAGTTTAGTGACAGAAAATTGTGTGTAGCACCTCCATCAATGAGTACATTTACTGTGCTTTCACCTTCATGCCATTTCAGTTTACCTCTCACCTTAAATGTTTTCACAGGGGTTATTTCTTTCTCATCACTTACAGAGAATTGCATGGTCTTCAATTCTAGAGGTGTGATCTTATCCCTGCCTGATTCCAGTGCTTCCAATTCAGACTCAGCTTCACCCTCCGATCGTTCCACTAAAGTTATTGTATAATTCTTCATCTTGCACACATGTCCCCTTCCCCAATTCTCTCCGCATTTGAAACATAGCCCCTTTTTACTTCTTTCAAGCAATTCTTCTTGTGATAATTGGGGTTTTGTATTCCGCTGAACTGAATTTGAAGATTCCTGCTTCTTCATGTTATCAACTAAATAGTTGCCAGATGGATTCTTGGTTGTGTAGCTAGAACTCCCTCTACAACCATCTTCCCATTTCTGATTTGCAGTCTGCACCTTCTTTCTTTCCTCCTCTTTATCTTTTACAAACAAAGTTTCCAAAATTTTGTTCTCAATCGCGGAGGCAGTATCCATAACTTCTGCCAATGTTCTAGTATGATGTAACTTCAATTCTGCTTTTATATCTCTTCTCAATCCCTTAAGAAAGGCTGCTTTTAAGACTTCTTCTGTTAAATGGCCTTGTGAAGCGATAGCCTTTTCGAATCGATCTCGGTACTCTTGAATTGTAGCTTTCTGTTTCAGACTGAAAAGAGGCCCAAGAGGATCGTTTACCATATCAGGCTGAAATCTTCTAGTCAACGCCCTAGTGAAAGACTCCCAGTTCTGATGTGCAGCTTGTCTCTCCCACCATTGAAACCAACTGAGAGCTTGATCCTCCATAGCTAGAACTGCCACATCAATTTTCTCCTCCTCCTCAGTTCTATTTAACCTGAAATAGCGGTTCATTCTCATCAACCAACCACCAGCGTCAGCTCCATTGAAAAGTGGTAATTCAATTTTCCTTTCAGTCCGGCGGTGGTGATCGTGTCTCCTGTGTCGATGATGGTGGTTTCGCGGTGGTGAATAGTCCGAACTGTTTTCCGATCCTTCTGAACTGGTTGCCCGTCGCGATTGGTGATGGTGATGCGACGATTGATGGTGAAACGGTTGATGATGATGCGACGTGCGATGCGAGGCAGATGATCGATGCGATGCAGATGATCGGTGAGAGAGGCTTCGCGATCGACTGGCGAGGTTCTTCTGAAATTCCGCCAAGTTCGCTTGCATCGTCGCTTGCATCGATGTCTGAATCGAAGCCAATTTCTCCGCCAATTGGTCCGCCATATTACTCTGCAATTCACGCATCCTCCGATCCAATTGATCGTGTAATTCTCTTTGATTTCTCCCAATATCCACCATGCTTCGTTCCACCTCGTTCATTCTGGCTTCCATTTTGGAACGCGTATATCTCATTCAGCGATCGAACACTGCTCTGATACCAATTGATAGGAAACTGTCCAGGTAAACAGTAAAATCACAGAATCTATCAAGAACAACTAAGAGTTTTTATTGATGAGGAAGAATCGATTACAGAAAGAGAGTAAGAAATCAATGGCCGAAGCCCCCAATATGAGCCGAAGCCCCCAAGAAAGAGAGTAACTCTCGATCTCCCAAGTCCCAGTCTGAAAAATGTCTAAACAGCCTACCTAACCCTTCCCTGCCTTCTGCTATTTATACTAAACTAATACACTTTTATTCTTATTAATATGCTAATAGGCCCAGTCCATTATTCTTATTATATATTAGGCCCGGACCCTAACAATTTGCAAGTCCAAAATGTTTCAAACACAAACAAAAGCATCACAGAAATGACACAATAAAAGAATGACACAACTTTGAAACCTGGAAGCTTAATCATGACAGTCATCAAGGTTTGAAGGCCCTTTGGAAGAATCATCTTATCTTATAGCCTTATCACCATCATCCTTCTAAGATTCTATCATCACTATCCAAATCCTCCCATTCTTGTGGACGTAAGGTTCCTGGAATATTTTATCAACTCCTAGTGGGTTGAAGCATGTTCGACCTTGAAACTCAAGGACATTCATCAACTCCTAATTGAAGTACACAATTGCAGTGTGTATACAAACCAACCTCAGATAAGCGGAACACCATGGACACATTTGGTCATTATATTTGGAATTACAGACTGTAATGCAACCAACCTCTTTCATCATTGTAGATATTCTTTAAAACATCTCAAATTTTAAAAAACTGAGCTTTAGGAAGTGTAGGACAGTATTAGGTACATAAAACAATTTTAAACCATTACATAGTGTAGGACAATTTAATAAGTTGTCCTACACTATGAAACTACTCTTGTCAAGGTTGACTTTTTGACCTGAAACAGATTGATAATCTTCTAAAAACTGTTTAAATCTCACTAAAGACCTGGAATCACCATTAGTTAAAATTAATAGGTCATCCGCAAACCCAAGATGACTAATTGAGTAGCCTTGGGTACCTAACCAATATGGTTTGATTAGTCCTGCCTCCATCTTAAATTTGAGACCTCTAGAAAAATCTTCAGAGGCAATAATGAATAAAAATGGGGAAAGTGGGTCTCCTTGCTTTACTCCCCTCTTAGGTTGGAAAAACCCTGGGGACTTCCATTAATGATAACAGAAAGATAAGTGGACTGCAGATTAGCCTTAACTAGGGAAATAAATCATGCCGAGAAATCAAATTTTGCCAGAACTTGAAAGAGATATTCTCAAGCTAGCTTATCAAATGATTTAGCCATATCTAGCTTGATAACAACATTAGAACCCCTTATATCCTTATCAATTGAGTGAATCATTTCCTGAGCAATTAGAATCTGATCAGCTATATCTCTGTTTTTAACAAACCCTGCCTGCTCTTCAGATATAATTCTAGGTAAAATGTGAACGAGCCTTGAAGCTAATACTTTGGTACAAATCTTGATGGAGAAATTGGATAAGCATATAGGTCTGAAATCAGAATAATACTCAGGTGCCTCCTTTTTAGGAATTAAGACAATTAAAGAACTTGAAAAGCCTTTTGGAGGAGGTATACCAAGAAAAAATTTCTGAACTGCTTTAACAACATCAGAACCCACAATATGTCAATATGCCAGCATTTCTTATAAAATTTACCTGTGAACTCATCTGGGCCTGGAGCCCCATTCTGATTGAGATCCCAAATTGCTGATTTTATTTCCTCTTCTGTAGGCATTGCTGTAAGAAAATCATTATCCTCTTGATTGATGATTTCAGGAATGTGCATAAGAATATCATTCTGGTATGTCACAGGTTCAATGGCATATAAATCAGAGAAAAACTGCACAACCCCATTGCCAATGTCAGGTAAACTGGTAAGAAGCTGCCCTTCAGAATTTTTAATAGAATGTATTTGATGCTTCCTTCTACTGATCTTGACCAAAGAGTGGAAAAATTGTGTATTTGCATCACCATCTTTTAACCACTTCACCTTAGCCTTTTGCTTCCAGAATTTTCTTTCAATTCTGTATTTTCCCAAAAGCAAAGCTTTTTTATGCTGCCAATTCTCCCTCTTTTCATTAGTATTTTGGTCCAAATACTGTTGTTCAACTTTAGACACTTCTTGCTCAGCATATTTAATATCATCAAAGATGTTCCCAAAAACTTCTTTATTCCAAAGCTTTAAAACCTTCTTAAGTTGCTGAAGCTTAATCACAAGACCATGCATCCCTCCTGCAGTATTAGTCTCTTTCCAGCTTTTAGAAACCACATTTAAGAAGGAACTATGAGTAAGCCACATATTCTGAAACTTGAAAGGCTTAGGACCAGATTGAAACTGATTTGAACACTGTAGAAGCATAGGGGAGTGGTCTAAAGGAGCTTGACAAAGATTTGTCAATTTAACAGTATCAAAAATACCTCTTCAACTCTTCTCCTTCCTACTAATTGCAGTCTATGAGAATAGTTCTCAAAAAATTAAAAAGCTCTGGATGTGGATTACGTTTCACTTGCTTTGAGAGGATTTCTGATTTATCCACATCAACCATTCCAACTTCTAAAAAAAAACTTGGAGAGCCCATCCCAATCACTCTTAGCAATATTGGTTAGTATTCTACTTCAAACCTAACAACTCTATATTTATATATGTCACATACTGTATCATAATTTGGTTTCCCCTGGATTTCATTAATTAAAAACCCTAGATTAAGATGAAAGTGTTTATAGAATCTATCAGTTCCGCAATTGCTGCAAGTGCTCCTTTCAAAGTCGTTTTAAAGAATGTCAATTCGCACTGGGACGAAAAGGTTGTGCTGTTGTTGAGAGTAGTATGCAGGTGGATTATTCGTGACAAGGGAAACTCCTCCAAAAATATGATTAAAATGGACCTCATGGAAGAGGAGGTATGACACTTATTATTTTCTTATTATGAAGTGTAGTTCTCTCTGCACACTGCAATTTTTTTATTTATTATTATTGAGTGTACTTTGCCTCTCTTATTAAAAATGTCAACAAAATGACTAGAGAAGAATGTTGACCTGTTTTAGGACCTAATTCTTGGTTGATTTCATCCAAATATGCCTGCATTTAAAGAAACTAAAATATTAAAACGGTTAGGTCGATGGTCTGTACAGGAAAGAGAATAATTTGTTCCAGCATTAGTTTATTTGATCTTTAGTGTCTTTTAAATGCTCTTAAAGTCCTTAAAACAGAAAAAACTAGCATTTTCTTTAGATCAAATCACACTATATTTGTGAAACGTAGACATTTCATTGTGATTGGGAAATGTATACTTCCTCCGTTCTTTAATTCTTACAACATTGTGATTTTTGCACTATTCACAAACCTTACTTTGACATCGATTTTCTACTAATATACATAATAAAATTATTACGTATAAAATGTGATTGAATTCCTCTGATTTCATGTATTTCATGTATTTTGTTCTCTAAATATGATTTCAGCATTGTGATGGCATGAAGTAAATATGTTATTACAAATGTCCAGTTTGGTTTAATTTGAAGGTAATAGTTCTGGGAATGAGATGTTTGTCTCAGTTGCTACTTGCTAAGAACTTGGACTGCAGCGTCAACAATTATCTGCCTTGGTCAACCTAGATCATTTCATGCCATCGCTAACGCCTTGGTAAACTTAGACCATTCTCTCCATACATCACACTTTGTTCTATCAGTATTTATCTTATTTGTATTTCCAAGTTACTGAACACGTTTTTAGACTAAAGGTTTCTACTTTTCTGTTTTGTATTTGTTCTGCATTTTTCTTTGTGATTGTTAATATGAATTTCAAGGTAGATAAATGAACCTTCTTCCGGATCAGTTTCAAAGGCCAAGTAAAGATAAAGAAACTAAAGAGAGATCTTAGGCAGAAAAAACTACATTCAAATACACACTTAAATGTTCCTAAGGGTTTAAGACTTCTTTTGTAATAGATTTAGTAATTTTTTACCTCCGGCCCATGTAAACATTTTAGAAAAGTGGTTGAGTTCATTTCGTCCATGATGTTATGATATTGATTAGCAAACAACAATTGTCCTTGCTATATAGTAAAGCAACCCAAACATGAACTGAAACATCCATTAGTTCAGATTGATTTTAGTTACCTTTTATTTTTTTTCTGTATATATTTATATACATTGTTTGCTTATTCAGAGACATGTTTGAGTGCTTTACTAAATAATTTTTTAATCTCACTTAAGCTGAGATCTTTTAAAGACTTCCTCCAGTTCAATTCTGGTAGATTTGGAATACTCTGCTTCCTTGGTTATTTGGATATACTCATAATCGCAAAACTCTTTTAAAGAAGCCAAGTACCCTCTTTTAAAGAGATATGTGTGTTTAAATAAGCCATGAACTAAGGTGATTCTTAAGATTCTTCCTTCAAGCTTAGATATGCTTAAAGGAATGTGTATATCAACAAAAGTTGTGTCTTTTAAAGATCACAATAGTATGTAATTATATAAACTGTGTTGATCTTTCTCTACAAACCAAATTTTACAGGGCATGCTGTACTAAGAAATATGATAGTATGCGGTTAGATTTATATTACAATCATTCTTTCTTACACAATGTGCTTTTTCAAATAGACTTATAGAGTATACACTTAATGATTCAGTTTTTTCCCCTAGACCTTTCTTACTTTTAAAATAAAGAGAATCTAATACTTTGGTTTGGTTTTGTTATAAAATGCAAAATTTTAAAGAGTAAATGATTTTTGGTTTATCTTTTAAAACATTACCTTTTATAAATTTGTTAAAATGGAATAATCTAACCTCTTAAAGCTGTTAACTTTAATATGGTTTCAAATGTTTTGTTTGATTTATACATTCAGAACATTTGGTTTACTTTTAAGTTTATATATATGTCCAATGTTTTAAGTCGTTTGGTTTCTAAAAAGTTTTTTTTCCCAATGCGACTGTTTGGGTTGAAGACCATTTTGTAACTCCTCATACTGGTGGGACTTCATAGTGGTTGATGCATGCCAAACAGAAATGCACCAAAAAGTGTTTATCTAGAATCATGTCTAGCCAATCCGACCAAACGAATGAACAATTGTATAACCAAGACCTTTCCATAGTCTGATGTAGTTCTGTTCTTCCGAAAGAAGACTGAATTGGCTAATTTCAGTTTGACACCTACCCATTTCTCTACTCCAAAATCTGACCAATTGAGTATGACTTTGATTAAGGAAACACACATAAACATAAGTCAAACTAAGGCGAAATCAGCACATATATTTGTTCGTAGACTCACTTTTTCCCAGGGGCGGACCTATGCATCGAAGGCCAGTGTATGCACACATATAGAGCCCGTTTGGTAATACGAAAATCGGTTGAATTGGCTGATTCTGCTGATTTTAAAAAATAAAATAAAATATATTTTATTAATAAAATAAAGAAAAAGTTATATGTAAAAATGGCTGAAAAGCCTGAAATGATCGTCTACAGTAACTTCTGTCAATACAGCCAGAAAAGTAACTTCAACCTTACTTTTTCATATTCTTACACAACTTAGCGCGTGAAATCAAAAGTTACGTGTTTGGTGAAAAAGTTGGTTGAAAAGCCTGATAAGCCGAAAAAAGACTACCAAACGGCCTCATAATATTACAATTACATTTTAATGGGAATATATCACAAATACAATTATACATTAACAAAATTGTAGTAAAATTCAAAGAACATTTTTGTGTTAAATAAAATACTAATAAGAATTTATTACTTGAGATTAAAGAACAAATTCAAAAAATAAGTACTTGAAGAGGAGTGATTATTAGTGGACCCATAAGATGTGAGTAGTTTATTTTACGTTTGTGTTGGGTTAAGGGCCCAAGCCGAGGTCCGGCCCACTAACCCATTTTGCTAGACGAACGTCCAGTTAGGACACTAGGCCAACCCACGGGCCCATGTTCCCTGGGGATGGACGAACGTCTGGTGTTGGGGGACTCAGGCCCAGCAGCTCATCCCGACGAACGTATATGCAGGGACAAGGAGCAGAACCACGGGCCACCAGGGATGGCGACGAACGTCCCCAGGACAAGCCTGTAGTCATCGGGGGAACCCAGTCCGCATGATGAATACCATTCAAGGCCAAGAGACGAACAGCCGATATCTCTCAAGGGTACACTTGGAGCAATCCAACTCACTTCCCGGGTGGATGAACGTCCCCACTAATCCGGCGGGAAACCTAGATTCTGGCGGGAAGTGCATTTAATGCTAAAGATTTGGTAGTTGGGACACCAGCGGTCCACAGGCTGCCACGTCACTACAGCCACCTGCCCATTGGCGGGTATAAATAAAAGCATTTATTTCATTGTAAAGGGTTGGCAACTTTCTATTCTTAGCACCCTAGCTATAGCATTCTATTCGCAGCACTTCTACTGCCTTGTAAGACGAACGGCCGACGGAGCCTTAGCAAAAAAGTGTTGTATTAGGGAGTTATTAAGAGATAATAATACCTAATCACTTATTTGCTACTTTATCGTCCTTGATCCTTATCATCTGTTTGTTGGGCTAGCTACTCAAACGCACTCCACTCGAAATCTTTGGGCTTACGTGTTGGGCCTGAAGGTTGAAGGAATAAACCTCAACACTGGCGCCGTCTGTGGGAAACTGAACTAAAAGTTTCCGAAAAACTCTCCCAAACAGCTACTAAATCTACCCCAAGCAAGCACGATGACAAGGAACAACCGCCAACGCGATCTCTCCGAGCAGTTGTCCCGCGGACGAAGCAACCGCGGGCAAACCACGGAATACTCCGAGACGTTGGGGACGACTGGGGGTGAGGTTGGTCTCACAAATCTCATCCCCCACGAAGCCAGGCAGGACCCTCGACTCATGAGGGAACTGGCGGAAACAATGCGCCGAATGGCGGACGAACAGGAGGCGAACGAAGAGGTGTATTCAGCCAACACCATCTGGACGCCCATATCGCCTGTCCGCCGCATGCGGACCCTGGATGAGACAGCG